ATTATTTAGAAACTAATATTATTATTAAAAATATACTGCACGCCAAAACAACAACACGTGGACTGCCGACTGCCTCGAAATTAATTTTATTTCCGTCCACACTGAACACAGATGAGCAGCGCACGAGGCGATGCCTCACTTTGATGTACCGATAACAGTTGGATCGGGTCGAGGCCGAATGGATACGGTTTCAAACAAATTTGCACGCCTCGTTCAGACGTACACATACGTATGCTCATGCGTCCTCGGATTGCCTCATTCGCGTTCGTGCTCATATGCGTACCCGCCTATACACGTACGTACTCAGATCTCTACCCGTCTTAACGAACGAATGCTTTTAGCAGAGATAAGGAAGATAAAGATAGGAAACGCCAATAAGAAGCCAATGCTTAACAACGACCAGCTTTAACGCAGTTAACATTTGACCCACTATGTGGCGCTATCATCGACATTAAACAACGCAGCGGGAAATTTAAAAACATGATAATAAAGCTTGTATAAATATCGACTGCATTCTCATGTTCTTGTAAATAATTACGCTAAATTATTTATTAAAAAGAATACTACACTTACAGTCAGTCTATTATCGATTAATTATTGTAAATCTATTCATGACAAACATTTTTTAATTTTTGATCGTTATTTGTAACATTACATTTTTGTTCTCATTTTCCAAACGAATGGCCAATGAAGTCTTATTTAACAATGTTGAGAGCAAACTCAATGGGAATTCAGATATTTTTCTTCCTATATCAAATACTTCTAACGCTTTGAAGCCATTTTCTTGTTCTAAAACAATTAATAATAAATAAATACCTACTTTGCATGGTATAAAAAATAAAAGGTAGGATATCAACAGTGTCAAAAATAGTACAGCCACGCGCATGACGTGACGCGTAGAGTTTGTATAGGCGCGAATTTAAAAATACTGACGAAGTGTGAGGAAAATATATGCTACTTACAAAAATTTCATGAATATTAAGGATAATATTTTAGAAATTACATGGAATATCTATGGATATTATTATGGGTTAGTTAAGAAAAGAGCTATGAAGGAGCATAAATGCAAATACATACATAAAAGGAGTATTTATTTGAACAGTTTTTTTCCTTTTTCTTTTTTAATAATTTATTTTTGTTATACAAATTCGACTTCTAAAGAACAGTTTTTATAATAATAATACTCTTCCTAATTCACCCCCTTGCGAGTGAATTTCAACCCCTGAAGTCGACTGAACGACTTGTGTAGGGGAAGGGACGGCTATTATTATTATTTGCCTTGGCGCTCCGGGGCGACTTAAGGATGATTTATGGTGCCATTTGACTTACAGGTGAGGAAAACCCGGAAAACCTCACCCACTATCATAATAACCAGGATAATGAAAAGGGTATCTTCGCAACTCGAAACTGGGGATCCTGGTAACAATTTCGTATTTGGATATGTCGGAAATTTTTTTCTGATTACTCATTTACTTGCATTATATTACCCAATTGAATAAAAATTGCTAAAAAATATGTTTTGTTTTTATATAATATAATTCTTATAATTGAAAGGTTGAAAGTGCTTGGAATACTTATGAAAATTTATCTGCAGGGTTACAAGCCACTGCAAGGGCTGCTCCATGTCGAATTTTCTTGGAAAGGAGGGTAGAATTGCCTATTTAGCATATTTTTTTTTTAATGAAAGACTCATGGATTTTAAAAATTTTAATCTAGGGAACGGCGTTCTCCCCTGAGCCTCCACTGGGGCCGCCCATGTGCCACTCCTCACTTCTGACTAAGCTCTTACTTTAGAGAAAATCCAGAAATCATAATATCTTTCTTGAATCCTTTGCTTTAATTGTTACTGTTACATCCGTACCGCAATTTTTCATTGTTTTTTACTAAAACCACTCACAGAGAACAAAGTTTACAACATAATATAATACAAATATCTGTTTATTATCTTACAAATCACTATAAAAGACTACTGCAACATGCGTCTGTCATATGATATTTATTTCACGCCAACTCTACTAACTCTACGCATGACGTCAGCGCCGCTATGACACCATGCGCGATATCCCCCCTGCCTACTTTGTGGCAAAATTTGGTTACTATTTGTGTTACTAACATGACTAGATCTTACTTTGGTTAATTAAAGAAAGCCACATTGGGGTTGTTAAATTTATTCATGTGGCTTGTGTTACTAATGCAATACGTTTTCCGACTTATTGTAATATTACAAAATGTAATTATTGTCCTCAAATTTCATACAAAAACAGACACAACCATTTTGCTTAGTTCATCTAGGGGATAACACAATCATTAACTCAAATTTTAAAATTTAAATTCAGGATTCTTCGATATACAGTTACATAAAACTGACATTTATTTCTACAAACTGTCCACTGCTGTCCACGTCTACTGCCTGCGCCTGTCTCAGTGTTGCCAACCATACGATTTAAATCGTGTGTATACGATTTTTTAACTCTTACAATGTACGATTGCATCAGTGAGATGGTACATAAAAATACGATCTTCCCTTTTTTAGTAGGTTTATTTAAATATATAACTTTAGAACATGAGACAATAAAAATCAACAACTACTTGCAAATATTCATAGGACGTTTGTAATTTCTGAAGGCAGTCATTTTCGTTTTCACTTATCGTGATTTTGTACCAACACCAACTATCACGGCATAACAAAGGCTTGCATGCAAAATTTCAATCACTTGACAGTCATTGATTACTTTAAATGTTAATTATAAGTTTCATGTATTTTCTTTAGTTATTTTTTTTTTGTTGTTAACATTTTTATAAATAGATAAATAAATTATCATGCCAAAGTTTTTTTATTTTTTCATTCCATTTATATTATGCTATACATGTACATACCTATTGTAAGATTTTTGTTGTCGAAACACTATTTTTCTACTCTACTTGTACGATCTCTTACAAAAAATATTTGGCAACACTGGTCTGTCTACAAACGACGTATAACTTTAGTTAACATCTGAGATGCATAGATGACGCCATCGTTACTGCGGTCGTTGCGTTTCCTATCCTTATGTCCCTAATCTCTGGCTTTTAGATTTTGAGGAAGATGACTGTGCCATATGTCACTACAACTACACAGAATTTAATCCGAACTATAAAACCGGTACACCTAAAACTTGTTTTTATACACTATGAAGCGTTCAAATATTACGCATTATTTGTTATTGAAACAGAAACAGAAAGAAACCATAAAATTTTCTACGGTTGACGTAAAATTGGAAATAAAAGCATATATAGGATTCCCCGCTAATACCAAAGCATATTGCATCATAATTCATGATCGTTTGATGGAATATCGTCCTCTTACGAAAGTAGTTAAGAGTATTATATAATAATAATAATAGGTTCAGTCTCGTTTCTGTTACCATAAGGATCGCATTCGTTGACATCCAAGACTTCTGCATCAACTAGAGATGTGGCGTGACAGCTTTTTAGAGGAACTGCAGTTCACTGTGACTGCTCCGAAAAAATCACAGTGACAAATCACAGCACCTTTCCGGAACAGTGACAACTATGGTCACTGTCCCTCAAACTTCTCCCTTGCTCCTCTTATATGTGGCGAATTAGCCCAATCGGATTAGGTGAAGAACAGGCTTGAGATTCTGAAAAAATCGAAGCAGCAATTTTTCTTCGGAATTCGTTGGAGGGGGTCTGAGGTAGTCTAATTTCAAAAAGTTGGGATTCCAAAGTTGTCGTTACCTCCGCCAGCTTGATTTAAAGGGTTATTTTTTGTATCTTGAATAACTCATTTATTTTCAATTTTACACGGAAAATAGTTTTTACAAAAGTTATTTAAAATTAAATTTCCTACAATTCTGCTTTTTTTTTTGTACGATCGATTTTTTTCGATTTATACCCGAAAAGAGGGGGTGAATTTTTGGTTATAGAATAACTCGTTTATTTTCAATTTTACGAGAAAAATTGTTATAGACAAAGTTGTTTAAAATTAAATTTCCTACAATTCTGTTTTTTTTGTACGCTCGATTTTTTTGTATTTATCCCTGAGAAGAGTGGGGGTAAACTCTTATCATTGTATTATCACGAAAACTTGGCCGAGCCATCGGCTAAACGTTCCAAACAGACGTCATTGACGTTTCGATAGACTTTTAAAAGTGTACTGAAAAGAAAATAAATTTCATATTTTCAATTGTAAAAATTATACTGTTTGATAAACTGATTATTTACACCCCTCTTTTCCTTTACCGTGAACGTGCGACCCAACAATATAAACTTTAGAAAAAATCGGAATCATAATTGTACCAAATAACATTTTTAAAAATCAACAAAAAAAAAACAAACAAAAAATAATGGTACAACATCAATAATAAACGTGACAATACAATACTTAGGTTCACCCCCACTCTTCTCAGGGATAAATACAAAAAAATCGATCGTACAAAAAAAAACAGAATTGTAGGAAATTTAATTTTAAACAACTTTGTTTATAACAATTTTTCTCGTAAAATTGAAAATAAACGAGTTATTCTATAACCAAAAATTCACCCCCTCTTTTCGGGTATAAATCGAAAAAAATCGATCGTACAAAAAAAAGCAGAATTGTAGGAAATTTAATTTTAAATAACTTTTGTAAAAACTATTTTCCGTGTAAAATTGAAAATAAATGAGTTATTCAAGATACAAAAAATAACCCTTTAAATCAAGATGGCGGAGGTAACGACAACTTTGGAATCCCAACTTATTGAATTTAGACTACCAGAGACCCCCTCCAACGAATTCCGAAGGAAAATTGCTGCTTCGAATTTTTCAGAATCTAAAATACTAATCCGATTGGGCTAAATGTAACTGCGCCGTAACGTTGCTTGTCGGTGCTTGTCCCTTTACGCAAGGATTGTTTTATAGTTTTTGTTGCTGCTGCACGCGCTGCGCTGGTCCTATTCAGAACGTCGTAAATTGTGTTTTGTATTAGGTATTATTTTTTATTTTTATTAACGAAGCTTAAAATGGATAGAAAAAAATCCACATTATGGTCGTTTTTTCAACCCACAACCGACCAAAAAGCCACATGTAATTTATGTAGGCAAAATATTAGTTATAAAACTTCAATAAGCAATTTAAAGAGACATCTTCAAAGAAAGCATCCCTTAGTAAATATTACTTCTGATGATGGACGTACAAATAATTCCGTTCCATCTTCAAAAAAAAATCAAAACACTAAAGAAAATTCGTTAATTCAGCCGTCTTCAAGTTCATCTGAAAATAATGATAAACATACAGAAGAAAATTTAGTTGTTCAGCCATCTACAAGTACTGCTCAAGGTCAAATACATAATTCAACAGTTCAAACTAAGCTCCCATATTTTCCAAAAAAGATGGGACTTCAACAAAAAACTAAAATAGATAGAAGCTTAATGGATTTGTTTATTAAAGATTTTCAACCATTTCGTGTAGTTGAAGATGAGGGTTTCCGTAATTTTACGACCTGCTTGAATCCATCGTATGAATTACCAAACAGAAAAACTATCAGTAATACTCATTTGCCCGCATTATATGAAGAAACCTTAAAGAATGTTCAAAGGGAAATTGGTGACGTAAAGTCTGTTACCCTTACCACGGATTGTTGGACGTCTGTCAGTACGGAAAGTTATATGGCGGTTACCGTACATTTTATCAGTAACAATTTTCAAACTAAATCTATTCTATTAGACTGTATTCATTTGCCGCAATCACATACTAGCGAGAATTTAGCTAAAGAGCTGAAACAGATAGTCGTTTCTTGGGGATTGCAAAATCAAATTTTATTGGCAATTTCTGATAATGCCGCAAATATTAAAAAAGCCATTCAAGATATTTTAAAGTGGAAGCACCTTGGTTGTTACGCCCATACTCTAAATTTAATAGTTGGGGATGCACTTAGTGTTGTTGATGATTTTTTAAAAAAGATAAGACAATTGGTTGGTCATTTTAAGCGTAGTACTACAGCTGCGGCAAAGCTAGCTGAGGTACAAAGCCAGCAAGGGAAAATTCCTAAGAAACTACTACAGGACGTTTCAACAAGGTGGAATTCCACTTTTTATATGTTGGAGAGGCTATTAGAAATAGAGGAAGCAGTTCGAACCACAATGGCTTTGTTAAATAGTAATACATTACCAATTATAAGTGTAGAGGAGTGGCAACTGTTAAACGAACTCAAAATAGTGTTGGAGCCTATGGAAAAACTAACAAAAATAATGAGTGGACAAAATTATACGACTTTATCAAGTGTTATTGTCCTTACAAAGGGTCTTGAAGCGAATTATAATAAGTTAAACGAAAATAAAGAAACTTATTGTACTTTTGCTTTAACACAAACGATAGTGCAGAAAATTTTAGATGGGATTCAAAGACGATTAGGGGATCTAGAAAACAGTAATACGCTTTTCATCAGTACATTTTTAGATCCAAGATTCAAAAACATTGGTTTTTCTAACGATGGTATGGCTGATAAGGCAAAGAAATTAGTAACAGCTTTAGTTACGGAATTGATATATATGAACCCTAAACAAATTGAACAAAAAGATCAGAATACACCGGTAGAAAACCTTTCCTCTGAACTACCACAGAAAAAACCAAAGGTTGATTTTTCGCCATGGGATCAATTCGACCGAAAGGCAGCTTCTTTCAAGCCTAGTGGCACTTCCTCATCTAGAGCAATCGTTGAAGTTCAACGATATTTAGAAGACGACCCACTGGATAGACACGAAGATCCGCTTTTGTGGTGGAGACAGCATGCATATAACTACCCAAATTTGTCAAAAGTATTCATTGAAAAATTCGGAACAATTGCAACTTCGGTTCCTTGTGAACGAGTGTTCTCCAAAACTGGACAAATAATAACTGAGCGAAGATCTAGATTAAATTCTCAAAAAGTTAGGCAACTTATATTTCTAAATGTAAACAAAAAGTGATATATTGTTTATTTACAAAAATATTTTTATTTGTTTTTGAAAAGAATGTATGTTTTTATTTTTTTAAAGAATTATTATTTTGTTTTTAAGAATGTTTGTTTTTATTGTTTTAAAGAATTATTATTTTATTTTTAAGAATTTGTTTTTATTTTATAAAGAATTATTATTTTGTTTTTAAGAATGTAGGTATTTTAATTTATTTTAAACTTTTATTAAATGCATTATCTACTTTTTGTTTGAGTTTTGTCATTTTTTTTTAAATTCGTTAATATCAAAATTGGTTAAACATTTAATGTTAATAAAATTTTTATCGTTTAGAGATTTTGTTTATATTTATTTCCAGTACCTACTTGATTTGTTCTAATACATAGTGATGAAACTTAACAAATTGATTATATTATACATAAAATTTAAGTTGTTAAATTTGAATTCTACCTAAAGTATGTAACAACATTAAAATGATTGAAAAATACAAAAGCTCATAGCAGCTAATTTTAAATTATGTACTTAAGTGTTCCAAAAAACCAAGTTCCGAAACCAGTTCCAGAAAACCAGTTCCGAAAAATTACTGTTTGGTTTTTTTAAAACCAGTGACAATAAATTAACCAGTTCCGAAAAAATCATTGTTTGGCTTTTTTAAAACCACAGTGACAATAAATTAACCAGTTCCGAAAAATCACTGTGATTTTCTCGAGCAAAGAACTATCTGCTCCGGTTCCGACCTAGGAACGGTGACAAAATCACTGACAGTGAAATCACGCCACACCTCTAGCATCAACGGTATTTTTCATCCGAAGGAGTTTAATATCACATGAAGGGGTAAGTGGATGAAGGGGCTATGTTATAAAAAAATAATTTTTAAGCAATTAACTATTTAATTAGATTCATTGGCATTTTTAGTGAAAAATGTATTTAAAATGCGTTTTTGTGATTTGGTAAGAGTGATTATGGACTAATTAGACGCACAAGACCAGACCAAAGTAAGACACATATAAACTTAATTAATTCTTCATCAACAAAAAAATAGAATTAAAAATGTCACATAATCCCTTCATCCACTTACCCCTTCAATTGGTCATAAAGATTACCACGTTTTTTTCACATTGCCCATACCTTATTCTAACCTAAATGCGTTTGATAGAATTAGCGTTAGATATGTTGAGAAACATATTAAAGCAGTCAACTTTTCCTCTGGAGACGTGGATTATTCCAAGTTAAACTCGATGTTGGAAACATATTTACTAAACCATGCTGATTGTATCTACGTACGAGGAAGTGAAAAAGCTGAATTTTTACTAAAAATGTGTCATGTGTTTGAAATATTTCATATAATAGTAGATGTATGCAAGTTCGATGGAACACCGTGTGCAACAGAAAAATTCATTAGTGACTCCAAAACCTGCATGTACTACGCCAATGGATCATTTAAATGTACCCAGAAGAACATCGAATGTCTACGTCACTGGTTTCTTAATACTGTTGTAATTTTTTGTTTTTAATAAATACAATATATAATGAAAATGTTTTTTTTTTTTTTTTTCAATTAAAGACACCTTATCTATTTCAAACATTTATTTTTGTTTTAAAAGAAGAATAAATTTTTGTATTTTTAATTTTTACAATAATTTTCAATATTATAAACAAAGTAGATGATAATGTTATACAACTAACTATATATAATTTAGAATATTTAGGCTATGGTATGTCACTCAAATCGATCGGTGGTGGTGGAGTTGCTATTTATCTTCATATTATTTACCATTGAAAAATTCATCTTTAGTCGCGTCCACTTTGAGCGAATCGCCTCGCGAGGCTGCCTCGCGAAGCAAATGCTCGCTTAGCGTAGACGTGCCTCGCCCTTAATTTTAAGACGCGCTGCCTCACCCGAGGCGGCCTCGCCCCGAGCCGAATGCTGTCGGTAACGTAGACGTGCTCAAAAGAGTTTCAATTCAGATATTTGAATTTGCCTTGCATAAGAAGGTTGCCGCGCGAAGGAAACTAATTTTTTCTGGAACCAAATTCATCCGAGGCAGGCTCGCGAGTAAAAGCCCGAGGCTTCCTCGCGAGGCAATTCGCTCAATGTGGATGCGGCTTTTTGCCATTCCGTTTGTCAAAACGTATCGCTATTTGCTGTACGCCATTCTGTACATTGGTATACAGTATATTGTTTAATATAGCAGTAAGTAGGCGGATACATATCTGAGCACGTACGCATATGAGGCAAGCCGAGGACGCATGAGCATGCAGATGGGGACGAGCTTTCGAGGTGGTACATCAAAGGGAGGCAGTGCGCAGTACGTGCTCAGTCTGGACAAAAAATTTGTACTTAATAGATTATAGCGAGTCTTCAAGGTTTATTTTGCATAAAGTGGAGTAAGGAAAAGGTTTTGCTTCTCTCGGTTGTATATATTCAGGGAAATATTTTATGGAGAGCAAGACAAAATAAAAACAGGCACTCAACTACCAGACCTCCATTTATGTTTTAATAATACGAGTATTTTGGGTATACGGTTCCGTGCTCGCGAATTCACTGAATCAGTAGCAAACAGTGCCTCATGCGTCTACCATTCGTGTGTACAAAATGGACCGCACGAGGCATTTGGTTCGGCCTCGGCTTACCTCATACGCGTACGTGCTCAGATCTATACCCGCCCTAATAAAATTTGCTTTCAATGAGGCCATATTTACGGTTGGATTTTTATAAGTGGATAAGGATGATATCTCTCAAAGACTTTATCCCAAAGACTTAAATTTGACAAATCTCTTAAAATTTGTTATTTTCATATAATTTTACGTCTCTATTTAGTTCTCTAACTTTTACACCAAACTCTTCAATTCTACGTCTATTCTTTTCGCTAGACATCTCAATACTGACTTTTTGGAGGATGGACTTACGTTAGACCGCTCGACCAACCTGACTATAGTAGTAGTTAGTTTATAGCGGATTCGACTGGCTGCATTAATGCGCATTTAGTTCGTTTTTTTTTAAGTGGTGTTTGTTCGACTGACAGAACCTAATTAATTAAAAGTCAATTATTGCATTCGACTGAAATTGCTCGGTAGCAAGGCACAGAAGAAAGAACAATACAGAAAAGAAAGTAATGGTCGGAACTTTGAAGTTGAAGGGATAGAAATATTTGACCTTGAGTTCCACCACAGAGATACTCTGAGAAAACGTAACTATTCACAGTACACGCGAACGAATAGCTATTCACTGAACCTACTCTGCGAAAACTACATTTCTCTTTTCCAGAATTATGTGTCTATTTTTTAATTTGTAGCACTTCCGACAGAGGTTTCAAAAATGAAAATTATAAAGTTTTAAACAATAGTTTATTTTACCTTGTCATAATGAACTATTAATATTGTGCCACAAATTTTACTATACTCTGTTTTTAAACTAAGAGGAGCGATTTGAATTTAAGTTGGCAATTCTGTAGCCTTCTGATTGGTCAGATTACAGTCAGTTTCACACATTACTTTTTAGCATGAGCATCAGCTATTAATTGATATTGTTGACAGTTCTGACATTTTATAATTTGATATCTCATCCATTACAGTTTTTTACTTTATTTCGTAAATAATAGTTATTCAGTAAGCAATTTTATTGAAAAATCTACAATTATGGATACTTCTACTATTAAAGGTAGCAATTCCTGAAAAGCCTTACAAGAAAGGGAAGATACCTTATTATTTTACATGCTGATTCTGAAGGTTTTGTAGAAAATGCATTATTGGTTGTTGAAGATAGAAAGATGGGAGATTACCATGAAGAGATGAATTCCAAAGTATTTTAGAAAAAAATAATTTTATTATTGATTTTTTAAAACTAAAAATTGATGAATTTCTAACCAAAATGATTAAAACGTAAATAAATATTCAAGCAAATTTTATTTATTAGAATAGAATAAAACTATTTACAAAATTGTTATAACATTTAAAACACCATCTACTACTTTGGGTACAATCTTAATTTGGCACACTGAGTTAACATTACTTTCACAAAAAATATTTTAAAAATACTTAAAATTAATACATAGGTATGTATGAATAGTTCACTTTAAAAAATATATGTTGACATGTAGTGTTATGAAAATGTTGGTTCCAGTTTTCAAAACAAATTCTGACTCATAGGCCTGTAAACTTTTGAATGCCTTTATTTGCCCTCTAGCGCATTAACCATGGGTTAACACTAAATAAGCCATAATATCCACATTACTCATAGAAGAGATACCAGTTACTGTGTGATCCACTTGTCATTCACTGATTAACTTTTACTTTTTATACCTATAACAAATAATATCCTTAAAAATGTAAACAGATCTTTATATTTTATACTAACCTGTATATTCCATTAACAATTTTCTTAAATATTTAATATCCATTTTAAAAAGATCATAGTTATTCTCAAAAAGTCGATTTCAAAAGCAAGAAAAAAGTATTTCTGACATCAATCAACAACCATATTGACTTTAATTTGACAGTGACATTTCGTTTTAGACACACATTTCAGATCACAATAATGTGAAATTTGCGACTGTTGTCTGGGACCAATTAAAAAATTACTTCTATGACATTTATTCGTTTCTTAACCGGTCATTGGCCGTTCACCGACTAAGGCCGATAAAGATAATTATTTAATAAATTTTGAACACGACTTTATTTTGAAACTCGCTCTTAGTAACAAATCTAGTTACTTTTCCCTGTGTAAATGCGTCTTTTCAATTCGCTCCTCCTAGTTTAAAAACAGAGTATAGTCATTTATGATCCATAAGTATAAATCAATTAAGATAATTGTTAAAAAATTAGCTAAAGCGTATTTTAGGGATTTTATAAATAAAAACAAAAAGAAAATAAAAAACGTGTATTTATGCAATTGATAAGTTTACAATCTATGCATGTATTTTATTAAAATAGAACTTTTCAATCGAACGATTTTAAGATTCTTTTTTATTACATTTGCAATAAGGATACTTATTATTAATAATAATTTATAATAC